AAATAAAAGGAAAAGGACTTGTAGTTTTCTAAATAGAAATGCGACCAATAGAGAAAAGTACTGCAACCTTGGTCAAAGACCAACTCAACCCTTAAGCCTTCAACAAAGTTAGAGAAAATCTTATATCAGGTTCAAGGAGCACAGCAACAGATAATCAAGATATAGAATGTTGGTCAGGTTTCCTTTGTCTTGCCTAATTAGCCACAAAACGTGTGTTCCTTGTCTTTCTCAATTACTCTGTTACATCATCCATCCAAAAACTAGATGGAATCCCTTGTTTGGCATATCAATACAAAGACTAAAGAAATCTTCTTCTTTTTTCCTGATGAGTGATGAATAACTCCAATGAGAGTAAAGCAAATTATCAAAACCTAAATGCAAGGATGAAAACAATGACAAAGAACAGCATACCTTTGGGATCATTAATGGCCTTAGATTCAGCACAGCAGATCTGAAGCACTTGCAGCCGCAATGATAACCTCAGTACAGAGGGACCCTCGTATTCGTCAAACTGGATGAAAAATGGTCTAGTAACCAACCGATAAATCTGGCCATCACAAGTTCGACCAGTTCTCCCTCTACGCTGATCGGCCTGCAGCATAAACCTAAAGTAAGGAATCAAGAAACCACAAAAATTAATCATCCAGTTAGATTCCTTCAATACCTGAGACTTAGAAACCCAAACAAGCTTTGCAGATTCCTTTTTCTGATAACTGTTCCAAAAAACTTGTAAAGATCGGCATGAATCAATAACATAGGCCACCTTGGGTATTGTTACTGACGACTCTGCAATATTTGTGGCCAGTATCACCTGTGCAGATTATTGTTTTCAGAAACAACCATAAGTGTGAAGATAAAGATATAATGGAGGAAAAAATCAACCAGATTTTTTTTGGGGGGGAGGGGGCATTAATCTACATCCTAAATATCTCAAACTAACTTTATTTGCAGCTATAGTTACAGTCATGTCTAGCAAAGGAAAAGTATTGGGATTAAACTACCCTTACATTTTGTTAGAACCAACAGCACACGTACAAAAACAACCACATCAAAAAAATTAAATAACGCAGCTAGGATATCAAACATACTTTACGATGGGATTTCCAAATCTTCATAGTCATGAGAGCTTGTTCAGTGTCAATGCTGCTATGTAAAATGTGAACTTTAAAAGATGAACTAAATGGCTTCAGAAGGAACCATTGCTGCTCCAGTGCATTGTATGTTGGAAGAAAAATCAAAATGCTCTTTTCAATGTCTGGTTCATGCTCATGAATATGCAACACCAAATCATGAATAAGTTTGTGCACTTTAGTCTTAATATCAGCTTTGGCCATAGAAGGACTTGGACCTGAACAATAACTATCAGAAAGCGACTCTGAATCGATATTGAGAAGACCAGCAACCTGTTCAGGAAAGAATCACAGAACCATCACTTATATAAATGAAATGGGTTTCCATATA